CGGGCGGTGTCTCCCGGCCCTCTCTGTACCTGGCGGCCCCTTTCCTCTCCTGCTGTTGCTGTTGCTGTTGCTGTTGCTGCTGCTGCTGCTGAGACGCCGCCGCCGCCGCCGCTATTGCTGCTACGCCCTCGGGTCCAGAACTCGACATTTTGACCCGGACGCCACCCGCTGAGTTTCCGAGCGAGTCGTAACTCGCCGCCATCTCCATCTCTTCGTCATGCTCCTCTTGATCCTCGAACTCCATATCAATTAATTAAGGGGAACCAAAAACGAAAAACCCCCCAGAAATTAATGAATCAGAGAATCAACCCAGAAAGAAAAACCCAAAAAGAAGAAAGAAGAAGAAGAAGAAGATAGCGAGGACTGAGTTTAGAGAGAGAAAGAGTAGAGAGAGAGTGTTTTTGTGTATGTGTCAGGTGTAAATTTGTAGTGTTATCTCTCCTCTCACACTCTCCTCAACACTTAGCTTAGCTCCCTGCAAAAGGAGCTTTGTCCACCTTCAAACCCCCTTCATATACTTTCCCGTTTTCTCAACCCCCACCGGCTACTCCCGGTTAAACCAGTCATTTTCACCTTCTGTCTCAGTTTTTTCACCGCGCGGTAAATTTCAGAGGTGGAGAGAGATGGGCTTGGGAGTGTCAGACTGCCACTGCTACTAGTACGAGTCTGAAAACAAAAAACAAAACAAAAAAAAATATGAAAAAGAAAAATGAACGGAAAAGGCAAGGGATTTTTATTATTTTTATTTTTTTCTGAAGTGCCCCACGCTCCCGGCAGCAAGAGAGGTGGTGGCGGCGCGTGAAGTGTCAAGTACTGTGGCAGAGGAGAGAGAGAGAGAGGGGGATGGTGATTGGGTGCGTGTGAGTATGTGTCAGGACACGGCATTACTTAGGAAAAAATAAATTGTCGGCATTTAAGGCAGCTGGGGGTACGTGCTCTCGTCTCCGACATGCGTGACGCGCTTTTTGGCGTCAAAATTCCATCTTTCTTATTCAAATATTTCTTTTCGTGTCTCAGAAAAGGAAGTGAATATTGGGTGCGTTTTTTGTAAACATACCCACTCTACGGTTTGGTGTTTGTGGGACACGCTTTTCTTCTTATTTTTTTATTTATTTTATTTACTGACTAGAATAATGTTGGTCTTAAAAAAGAATGTCTTTTTCCATCCCAACACATAATCGTTCTTTTCTCTACACAACAACAACAACAACAACGAGATGAAATTAGTTTTTAGTTATTCCAGAAAAAGTAGATTAGATATTTTTTCCACATCTTTTTTAACCTACTTATTCCAAAAGTGTTACAGCAAAATCCTTATTTGAACGATTCGCTAGGACAATTTGTGTATTGTTTTTTTCTTAAGCTTATGTTGAATAGCCAATAAATAATTTGGTGCATTTTTTCCCAGAAAGTTTCTTAAAAGAAAAAAATTCAATCTCAATATGATCACTTTAGGGGTCAAATCGTTGTTCCATTACTTAGTGTACTTCCATTCATTTGTCATGACAAAGGACAAGTAAGTGCAGTTACTGTTCACGCGAATAGTATATGCCATAGTATTTTTTTTCCCCAACTATTGCCTTAACAACTCAAGAGCAATTACTATTTACATTGGATTAATTTTATTTATACGTATGAGATTAATAAATAAAAAATTGATAAGTATTTGTATTTAAAAAAACTCAGAATCTTTGGTATCTTTTCATAATTTTTTTCAATTTTTTTTTTTCGATGACGTCAAGTTGGCATCAGTGCCCACGGGCAGGAGGTCAGGTTGATCTTGTCTTGGACCTTGCCCGGGCTTGGTGGACCCCATGTGTTGCCAAGGTAGTAACAAACCGTTGGAGCTAGTTTTGGAAGCCTAAAGGGGCTTTTGTCTGGGTTGAGCTCACCGTTGAAAATACTCTTAGAATAGGACTATAAGTTGTCTCGTTATAGATCTTGAGTTCGAATTAAGCTTGGCTTAAATTTAGCTCATCTAAACTCAACTCGTAACATAAACAAGTCAAGCCGAGCGTGGCTCGTTTAAGAAACAACCACGCTTGAGATTTGGTATATTTGGCTGATAAAGTTGAGTTCAAAGATCCTTTATATGAGCATTGTATTATTCGATTTGGCACACTGCTGAGGCTTGTGAGTTATGTTATGGTTGCCTGCCGCCATCCATGACTTAAGAAAATAAAAAATAAGGGCAGAAATAGTATGGTGACGAACAACAGAGAGACAAAGATGGTGAAACATTCGTGCATACTAAGATGAGTGGGTTGTAATTTTCAAAAGGTTTGAAATTAATAATGAGATTAGTGGAGTAGCAAATGATTTCACTTGTAGCTAGGATATTGCCACTTTTATAGTAGTAGTATTAAAATGTGTTAAACCCTAATCATCAAAATCCAATTCACAACACGTGCATGCATAGTGCACATCACAAATGACTGATATATAACTCAACCAAAAATAATAATAATAACATTGTTAATTTAAGAAACCATGAGTCGAATATAATGTATGGTCGAGGAAGAAGTTCGAATTAATTTTTTTTTTTTTTTTTTTTTGTCGGAACTAAAGTTCATCCATAAAAGGGCATAAAAATAAGATTCAACAAATTGAGCTCAGCATCAATGCAATAAGGCCTTAGGTTTTTATCTTGAACTCAATCAATCGAATCCAATTATAATATGAATTAGATTAGATTGGATTGGATTGAATTTTCAACCGAAAATAAGAAGGCTAACGAGAAAACTCATAAAATAAAAACTTTTGAGAAAAATGAAAAATGAAAAAAAAAAAAAAAAAAGGAAAAAGAAACTAGCAAAAGCAAATGGGCGCACGTATAATGGCTTATGGCTGGGAGAGTCGCTGTTGTCCTTTTCGGGGTTGAGAAAACCATAAAAACCAGTATAATTGGTGATGGCTGGCAGTCTTATCACATGAAAATCAGAAATGGCACTGATTGTATTATTGTAGGGGGAGCTTTGAAGAAACTCATCCGCCCAACGCAAAGCAATGCCTTACCCAGGGGGGTCTGGCTGGTTGCTGTCTTTGAGTTTCAGCTAATTACCTCCACATCCATCAAAATGCTTTTGACCATTACCAAATTGACACCTCTTCTGTGTACCCTCCTCCTCCCTGTCCCTGTGACCTTTGATCCGACTGCATGCCCGCCAATTGCCTAATTTTCATGAATGTATTGTCAAATCTCTCTTCTTGAAGAAACAACTTGAACATTTTTAGTTTTTAAGAGAAAAAGAAACAAAAGGAAGAATGCTCATCACTTTAGTTTTCAAGTGTCATTTCATATCATTATTCTAAATTGGGGGTTTTATGGCCGAAATGGAATTCAACAGTTGACATCAACTACCCTTATACATGGACCAAAATAAATATAAAAAAAATTAAAAACTACCCTTAGAGCACTTCTACTTATTTATCATAGAAAAGGGTTAGGGAAAGTAAGGATGATTGTTGTTCACGTGAATAGTATCTGCCTTAGCAATGTTTTGTTTTTGTTTTTCCACCTATTTTCATGGCAACCCAAGGACAATTACTGCTTTCATATGGAGTTAATTTTATTTATACGTATGATATTAATAAATAAAAAATTACTAGGTATTTATTTTTAAAAAATTTGAATTTTTTGGTATTTTTTCAAAATATATTTTCCAAAAAATTTAAATTTTTTTATTTGCTGGCATCAGCTCCTGCATGTGGTAGGTCAAAATTACTAGGTGTAATTTTTTTTTTTTGGGGGTCAAAATTATGTTGTAAATTGAACAATAGTTGATGGAGAAATTTGAAGAGAGAGGTAACATCATATTCAAATGATTTAGGAACTTTATTGACACCAAAGTGCGGGATGAAACATAATAGAAAATTGTGATAACAAATAAGAAAATATCATGTGTAAAAATAGTAAAATTATAAGTTATGTCAAATTAGGCCAAATTGAACCGAACCAAATCAAATGTTACACTTGCTTTTAGTTGCGAAAGTGGACCCAAATTTATTTGACGAATTTAATTTAGCCCATTTAAACTTTTTTCGAACCTGCTCTGCTCCCAAATATATATCACATAAAGTCAAATCAAAATGACAATAAAGAAAACTTAAAATGAGATATATAATATGTATGTATCTAAGACCACATTTTAAAAAAGGAAAGAAAAACCTCTATATAAAAAACTCTAGCCGCACTCTGGTCTCCTTTCTCCTTGCCAACAACCAACTGCAAGGAAGCTAAGGAGGGAGGTGGCCACTGCCCCTTATCCCCTTCGCCCATCTTCCCCCTCCTCTCCTAATCTCTCATTCTTTTTCTCATATCTTTTCCTTTCCTCTTATCCCCTCTTCTCTTTCTTCAGTCTAGATCTGTTTCAATCCAGGTATGTTTGTTTGTTTGATTGTTTTTGCAGTTTTCTAAGTGGCCGGTGTTGTCTTTGTCTCGACAGCAGCGACAGTAGTAACGCTGGATTGTGTCTCTCCTTGGGAGGGTTGTAATATCTGGTGGCTAATGTTTTGTCTATGTTTCAACGGCGACCGCAACAGCAGCGACGTTAGTGGTAGTTCTTGGGATGTGGTGCTCTTCTCTACTCTGCACCGACCAAAGTACTATGTTCGGTCATAGCTCATAAGAGGTTTTCTTTGTCCAGTTTTGAGTTGAAGTGGAGTACTTCTCAAGGGTCTTTTTATTGTTGTTTATGTGGTGACGCTGGATTGTATCTCCTCTAGGGAGAGTTGTGATAGCTAGTGGCTGATGTTTGTCTCTGTTTCAATTGCGGCGGTAGCAGTGACGCTGGTGGTAGTTGTTGGGATGTGGTGCTTTTCACTACTCTGCACCGACCAAAGAACTATGCTGGGTCATAGAAGTTTTTCTTTGTCCGGTTTTGAGTTGAAGTAGAGTGCTTCTTGGGATCCTTTTACTGTTGTTTATGTGTTTCTCATGCGTGTTCTCTTATGATTTATGCTATGGTATGCATTGCAATTTATGTGGGTGTCAAAGGACTATGATTTTGCTCATATAAGACTTTTTTTTTTTTTTTTTAATTTTATTACAGTTGAGATGTTCTGCGGTCCTCTCATGTGGGTCTACTGTGTTAGTCTATAGTTGTGGTTCTTGTCGGAGGTCTATGTGTTAGTTTTCGTTTTGGATTTGTTCTTTTATTGTTATGGTCCAAAGTGACCAGAATCGGACTCTCTTGTTAGTCTAAAACATGTGCGGTACTCTTTTCTCCCCTGAGGATTGTCCTATAAGGTTGTACTATGAAGGTTTTAATGAGGCGACTGTACCATGTTGTTCTTTATACGTCTTTGGTTCTATGAATGAATTCTCTTTCTAATATATATATATATACACGTATTTGTGTGTATATTAATAAAAGGAGGTGATTTTCTCACTCCTTTTTTTCTCCATTGACACTTCCTTTTACTCTTTAAAAAAAATATATTTTTTAATCAATTTTGTTATTTCTCT